AGGAGAAGGTTCTTTTTTTAAGGCGTTTTTTTATTAATTAATTTATTTTTTAATCTATCCAATTCTTTCTCTCTCTCACTTTTCTTTTGTATTTGTATTCCTCCATGTGCCTACCTCAGCACATGCATCTTTGTGTGTGCTTTCTCTTTCCCTTCATTGCTTTCAGATTTTATGAACTAACCATATATCTACTTTACTCTCCATCTCCCTCGCTTGTATTTTACCTAGGACTTACCAGCTCACAAATCAGGTTCTCAGTTTCCTTGTAGTCTTCGTCCCGATAACTGAAGGTGGTGATGACTTTTGGACCGTCTTCCTGCAAATATGTTAATGTATATTGGATGACTGTTTTCTCGTTCATGTAAACGTGATGGTCCGTTTCAATTGAAGTTAACTGCATGGTCAAATTTATGTTCTGTAAGCTGTATGGTTTATTTTACATTAATGTAAGCTGCAAGATCTGTCCTTTGATCATTTAAGCTGCATGATCATATTTGCGATATGTAAACTGCATGATCTATTTAATGTCATGTAAGCCGTATGGTTTGTTTTGCGGTAATGTAACCTGCATGGCATATTTCAAATGAATGTAAAGTAAATGGTTTCTTCCTTATCAAACTAAATCTTCTTTATGGACTCTGCGATTGACAGGGTGTGCAATCGGAGTGAGTACTATGGGCACTAAGTACTATACAAAAGTACAATAACTGTAAAAGGAATTAAGCTTAGACTTTCATTCCAGAACTAACGAAACACTCATGCCTTACCTCAGGGACCCTAATATCAAAAATTGGGCTTTGGTCCTGAACTTGAGGCTGGAATTCATTCACGTTCTCTACAGGGAATTCCGTTAAGTATGATTCATCAAATAGATTGCAGTTGATTTTGTATACATTGTCCTTCTCGGCGTCCAACTCTGCTTTTAGTTGAACTGTTTTTCCATTCACAGTCAAGTGGTTGCAGTCCTGTGCTGGGTTTATATCTGGGGAAGTAAGGGAGAATTTCAATAATCTGGTTTATTTTGGTTTAAGAAATAATTTTGAAAACACGTGAGAACAAATCTATAGACTTGGTGTGCGTGTGTGTGTCTGTGTGAATGCGTGATCCAGACTTTTTTCACTCTCATTTCATTGCCAGTTGCTACACTATGTGAGAAAAATACGAGACTTTAAGTAAAGGGAAAAATATCCATACTTCATACCCATAGCAGTTAAAAGTTCGCTTCCTGGGGGACAGTCCTCATAGATAGTGATGGAGCTTGCACTGACATCGCATTTGTAAGTCCTGATGCAGTCTGTGTTGGGGTTGGTGAAATACTTGTCGCAAGGATCGCTCTCCGCCGCCGACACAAGCAGCGCCGAAGCCACCAACGCTGACTGTAATAAATGCATAGGAGACCTGCTGCTGAATGGTGTGAATAATGCAAATTATAACAGACAACGACAGATAACCAGCAAATAAATTTCTAGGCGTAAGTGTGTGAGGTTTTCAACCTCCCCCCCCATATCCCATCACCTAACCCCCCCCCTTCCTAGCCCCAATCCTTCTATCCCTCTCGTCTCCTTATTCGCACCCTCTTCCTGTCCCCTCGCTTTTTCTCCCCTCTCTTTACTTCCGCGATAGCTTCTCCCTCTTCTACTCGTTTTCCTTGCTTGTTCTACCTTTATCTTTATCCCTATACTATCCTCCCTCCATCCTATCCCTATCCTGCCCTGTATCCTGCCGCATTTTTTCTCGTACCCCTCTTATCCGCACTCTCTTCTTGTTCCTTCGCTTTTTCACTTCCTTCTATCTCTACGCTAATTTCCCCCTTTTCCATTCCTTTCACCCGTTTGTCCTACCTTTTACCTTTAATCCTATCCTCTCCTGCTCCCATCCTATCCCTATCCTGCCCTGTATCCTGCCGCATTTTTTCTCGTACCCCTCTTATCCGCACTCTCTTCTTGTTCCTTCGCTTTTTCACTTCCTTCTATCTCTACGCTAATTTCCCCCTTTCCATTCCTTTCACCCGTTTGTCCTACCTTTTCTTATCCTATCCTCCTCCTGCTCCCATCCTATCCCTATCCTGCCCTGTATCCTGCCGCATTTTTTCTCGTACCCCTCTTATCCGCACTCTCTTCTTGTTCCTTCGCTTTTTCACTTCCTTCTATCTCTACGCTAATTTCACTTCTTCCATTCCTTTCACCCGTTTGTCCTACCTTTTCTTATCCTATCCTCCTCCTGCTCCCATCCTATCCCTATCCTGCCCTGTATCCTGCCGCATTTTTTCTCGTACCCCTCTTATCCGCACTCTCTTCTTGTTCCTTCGCTTTTTCACTTCCTTCTATCTCTACGCTAATTTCCCCCTTTCCATTCCTTTCACCCGTTTGTCCTGTTGTTATCTGGGGAAGTAAGGGAGAATTTCAATAATCTGGTTATTTTTGGTTTAAGAAATAATTTTGAAAAACACGTGAGAACAAATCTATAGACTTGTGTGTGCGTGTGTGTGTCTGTGTGAATGCGTGATCCAGACTTTTTTCACTCTCATTTCATTGCCAGTTGCTACACTATGTGAGAAAAATACGAGACTTTAAGTAAAGGGAAAAATATCCATACTTCATACCCATAGCAGTTAAAAGTTCGCTTCCTGGGGGACAGTCCTCATAGATAGTGATGGAGCTTGCACTGACATCGCATTTGTAAGTCCTGATGCAGTCTGTGTTGGGGTTGGTGAAATACTTGTCGCAAGGATCGCTCTCCGCCGCCGACACAAGCAGCGCCGAAGCCACCAACGCTGACTGTAATAAATGCATAGGAGACCTGCTGCTGAATGGTGTGAATAATGCAAATTATAACAGACAACGACAGATAACCAGCAAATAAATTTCTAGGCGTAAGTGTGTGAGGTTTTCAACCTCCCCCCCCATATCCCATCACCTAACCCCCCCCCTTCCTAGCCCCAATCCTTCTATCCCTCTCGTCTCCTTATTCGCACCCTCTTCCTGTCCCCTCGCTTTTTCTCCCCTCTCTTTACTTCCGCGATAGCTTCTCCCTCTTCTACTCGTTTTCCTTGCTTGTTCTACCTTTTATCTTTATCCCTATACTATCCTCCCTCCATCCTATCCCTATCCTGCCCTGTATCCTGCCGCATTTTTTCTCGTACCCCTCTTATCCGCACTCTCTTCTTGTTCCTTCGCTTTTTCACTTCCTTCTATCTCTACGCTAATTTCCCCCTTTTCCATTCCTTTCACCCGTTTGTCCTACCTTTTACCTTTAATCCTATCCTCTCCTGCTCCCATCCTATCCCTATCCTATCCAGCATCCTGCCGATATCCACAGGGCGAGTCGAGCACAGCCAGCCGGACCACTTCCCTCTGCCAGCCTCTTTTTACGCTTACTTTTTGTACTACGCTGGCCCTTATGTTTTTACATGTGTTTTACGTTTTTTCACCTTTTTTGTACATTTTTTAAAGATAAGACCATTACTGAGTTTCTTTGTTACCCATGCATATGTTACAAAGATTCGGATGTGCGGATAACAAACATCCACATCTGCTGCGACTGCATCTCTTTTTTATACGGTTTTTTTATCTCTTGTATTTTAAACTCAGTTTTATTTTTTAATGGTTTCTCTTTACTTATTCATCCTTTTTATTTCACTTTTACGGCAAGAGAAAGTTATTTATTTTAAGATTTTTATTAATGAATCGCAGCAGATTCTTATACGTATTTTTTTTGCCATAATTGTAGTTCCTGAAGGATTTCTTTTATTGTTTTTATTATTGGTTTTATCTTTTGTATATTTTCTTTTATTATAATAATTCTTACTTTTTGTTTTACTATATTTTGTGTTACGTCGCCGTCCGCGGGAGTTAATGTAACCCCATGTTTTTTGTAAAATAAATGAAGTGGATACTCTGACTGTGTTGTGACTACCCTTTGGATTTACTTGTCTGGATTCTACACCGTGGATGCTGAAACAAGGTTGTACTGCCCCTTTTACTTGCCCAGGTGTATTTAAGCTGGACGTGCCTTTTTATTATTTTACGAACCATGTGTGCTCCTTTGACTTTTACTTTTTACTTTCTCTGAATTTTACTTACCTTTACCTTGTACTTTTACTTGTTACTTTTATTCATACTCGCCTTTTACTCGTCTTTTACTTGAGCTTTTACTTTTTCCCTCATTTTACCTTTTACTTGTTTTATCTTAGATGTTAGTTCTTTTTATTGTTTTTAAGCCCTTCTGGCATGCTTTGCAGTTTTTCTTAAGCCCTTCTGGCGTATTTTTCATTCACTTTTAAGCCCTTCTGGCAACTGTCTTTTACTTATTAACTTGTTTTACTTTGGTGCCTTCTGCTCGATTCTTTTTGTTCATTTTAGATTTTTGTATTTTCATCATGCATCTTCGTATTGGTCACGCTCCTGGTAGGCCTGCATCTCCGGGGATTGTTTTGCTTGTGAGGTCGTGTGGGTTCTGAGTCTTCAGCTTGGTCCTCTCACCCTCTTTTTCGAGGAACGAACGGGGCCCCTCATTTTCCTTGGCCCCTAAGCCTGAAGCCTCCCGCCTCACGGGTGGCCTCTTATGGGCTCCTCCTCTCACATAAACTTACAAGTGTTATGTTGAAATAAAAGCCCATAAATGGGGAACTATAACTGACCTTTAGCATTACAATTCATCATGCGGTGCTGTGCAAATCTAGGGAATTTATCTCCACGTTTCACTTATTTACCATTCTAAAATCTATAGTGTCATATAACGACTCCTTGTTGACTCATATCAATAATATTGAGTCGTCCGTGTTTTTTTTTTAAACTTTGTATCACCATTATCTATATAATATTGGATCACTACGCCGACCGTTGTAGTCAGAGATAGCCTTTAAATTATAAAAAGGAATGTCGTTTAATAATAAACAACGATATTTCCATTTCGTTTCATGTCAATATAATTTGATAATCAGTCTATTGGTAAGATCGCATTTATACAAGTACAATAATAACATTCCATTTAGTTCTTTTGCCATTAAATCAGTCACTTTCTTTAAATTACGAACTCAAGGATAAAGTGGAAAGCATTCAAGCTTTTTTATTTCACTCAATATATGACTATCCTATTTCAGCCGCATCAGAAGAGGCAAACAAACAAGCGTATAACCTGTGGTGTAGAATGGCTACACGATGAAATGCATATATATATATATATATATATATATATATATATATATATATATATATATATATATATATATATATATATATATATATATATATATATATACTCTCCCCCACATGTATGGGTGTGTATGTGTGCATGTCCTTGTATGTATTTGTAAATTATGGATGTCCGAAAATATGTTTTATGATGTGGACACTAATTAGTGATAAGGGATAAGTGTGTCTGTAAGAATACAAATATATTTCAAGAACAAATAGTAAGAAATGGCATTTTACTGACGGCAATCTTAATCCGTCGAATAAAAAAGATGTTACAAATAATTTCACAGATCCTGTTAGATCCTTTCAGCGGGAATTAATGAAACATGGCTCACTGCATAACATACCAGATTAAGCTCAGAAGTTGAGATCTTTGTAACAGAGAGGATTCGTGAAAGGGAATCCCCTACAACTATAAATTTGTGACGTATACCATTCAAAAAAATCTATAACGAAGAGGGTTTACACGAAAGGCTTCCAATAAAGTTTGAATGTGTGACGTGTACCTTTCATTTCATATTTCATCCGTTGTATGTAGATTCATTTTCCTGTTTTACTCTCTCGGCGTTTTTTTTTTTTCCAGAAATTGCAATAATAAGTTTCCAGCAGCCACAAGCGTTTTCGGAGCTGCCATCTTTATTCTCGTGGACTTGAGAAGAGGAGCCTGAATTAATCTTAAAATTCAACATGAATACTCTTTGTCATTAATTTAGCCCCTCAGCCCTGATTAAGGGGGGGGGGCATTTAAGGCTCGCAGTCACTTTAATAGTGATTTCATTTATCATATCACAATACTAATAAAAAACACAAACTGAAACAGAAAATTTTCCCAAAAAAACAACAACAGAGATTGTTAGGACTAATGATTGACTCCTGGGTGATTAAGTACTTGCAGAGCCATCACCAAATTAAAATTAAAAATCTAAGGTTATGTCAGTAAGATGATGCTATTTATCATGATGTTTTTTTTTATATCAATAAGCTGCTCAATCATAAGTAAGTTATTATCCTTCTTTCAAGATTAGAATAAAAAGAATCAAGCTTTCATTAAAACCAATTATTAAAAGGAAGCAACGAAATATATCAAAATGAAAATAAAGAATTTTTTATTTATTAAAACTAGAATTATCTAAAAGAAAAAAATGTAAAGAGCTTTCAGTATTTAATACTCTATAAAAGCTTGAAAATGAAACATTTCGAAAGTAAAAGAAACATCAAAATACCCTTAAAATCTAAATGTGTGACATTATCAAACAATAAAATGAACCACACACAGGCACA